GAAAATGGCTCAAGCCGAATGTAGTTTTAATCTATAAGTTATAAAAAGGCACTAAGTCAGGTAACAATGTAAACAAACACCATCAGGAACTGCAGACTTTGTTAAAGACATCGAAGAGTTACAAGCAGATTAGAGAGAAAATAGATATTCTCCAACGTTACTCTTTATTTACAAGCTGTCATCTGATTTATGGCCGAACAGAAAGGTCAAGTACAAATGACAGATATTGTTGCAATTTATATCACTAGGGTTTGTATAAAAGACCCAACTGTGATATATGTTAAGACATATCTGCTATATAATAGGATTAAATGTTTTGACTGAAGGTTAAACGTCTTATACCCCCCGGTTAAGGTTTGTTTGTGTAGGCCTCGGCTACGGCCTTCCAGGAGCAAGAAATGTAAACGTCCCCACATAAACGCCACCCAGCAAGGCTTAATGACTCCTTACCCAGGCCTCCACAGTCTCCCACTGTGCTTTGTTCGTGTCCAAGACTGGAAATTTCTTCACGTTGCCCCTAAAGTTCACTTTGACAGTGACAGGGAGGTTCATGGCTGTTAGCCAGAGTCAAATAAGAATCGTTTGATGCGGGGATGTGACGCTCTAAATGCCCGCGGTGGTGGCAACACTGTCAGATTTGTCTTTTGCGTTCTTGTTTACATCGCTAGATTCGTACACGCCCCCAACCCACGTCAGAGGAAGTGTCTCAGATTTACTTACTAACTAAATATATATATTTTATTAATACAAAATATTAAAATTAAAAATACTTCAAGGCTCGTAAAAGTATTTAACTGGTCCTTATATGTACTTATTTTGGGATTCCATCAAATAATATTTTACAGCGAAAAATATGACGCACTCATGCACACTACGTCTTTCGAAGTCGTCCCGAACATAGAGGTATGGACATATAGATACCGTTTTAGCACGGTAGCTATGCTGATTACAGCGATACGTCGGTGTTTACACTATATTGTATTGATTTGGTTTTGCCATGAATATCAGGTGATTTTGCATATTCCAGATGACATCACATTTCCACACGGCAGAACAGATGTGACAGCTATGTATTTCAATCTATGGTCGCGAAGTGCTTACGTCATCTAGAAGCGCGCAAGTGCCTTGTGGCTGACAGCAGTTAGTGAGCCACACGGTTAGTTAATGCTTTTAGGACAATCCCTTACTTTTGTCATTTATTGAATTAATACGATGTCTTCGCTTCTTAAGGTGGACAATGAAATCAAAACAAAGGTAAATGTGTCGCCGCTTCCTTTATTTAAATACGGAGCGCTCAGATGAGTTGTTTGTAAACGTTAGCTTGCGGCTAGCCGGCTTGCGCGTGAGTAACCTCGTGAGCGTGTTAGCTAACTTTTACGCTCACATATGCTTGTGAAATCAGTTGTAAATTAAAACAGAAAGTACATATTGTAATAAAGCATGTGAGGATTATACATATAAAATCTTCAGAGTGAAGCCAGGGCTCTCACATGCGCGTTAACCGCGTGTTTTTAGCACAGCAGCATGCCGCTACGGGAAAAGTACATAACTGTTAGTGGTTTTTAGCACGTTTTTGACAGCAGTAAGCTCAAATAATTTTTAAGTCGTTGATTATGTTGGCAAGGGATTACGGTGAAGATCGCGAGGCTAAAAAGTCAACAGAGAGCGGGAAACGGCTCTATTACATGGTAACTTACATGCTGTAAAGTGTAAACATTCAGCGTCTTAAAATAGAAGGGCCGCCGGTTGTGTTTTTTTCTAAAAGAGATTGACTTTCAAAGACACGACATTATAAATTGTGACGACAAAAATCAGTCTGGATTATATTTATATATGAATATTGCTTGTTTTGTCAGGTTGATGCTTTCAGAGAACGAATTACAGCTGAGGTGAACTACTGCACTTATCCAGATTATATATATATATATATGAGTGTTTCGTGACTATTGGACGACTTATTGTTTAATTAATCAAATTTAGGCTGAAGACTTGGTTGCAAACTTTTTCCCGAAGAAACTGTTAGAGCTTGACCAGTTTTTGAAGGTAAGTTTAATAATGAAAAATGATGCATTCTTGACATTTACTTCTTGAGATGTGTAAAACACGTGCATTTGTGTGATAGCCTTTTGATAACATTTTGTTTTATTTGTTTGTTTGTTTTTTTTAAATAGGATCCCACAATTAATATCCGTGAGCTGAAAGAAATTCATTCAGAGATCAATCTGACTGTGCCAGACCCAATTCTTCTTACAGACATCCACGATGGGCTTGAGGGGGTAAGAAGCCATTTTTAAGTTTTCTCCTTCATTAATCAGTCAAAAGCAGCTCAGGTTGAAAGAGTGATATAAAGTCTCTGAATAGGATAGGTTTCTGTTGCTTTGTGCAAAAGATTGTCTGTTTGACATGAACCAAAAAAATCAGCAAGTAACCTTGAAATATTTTCTCAATAGCAAAATGCTAAAAAGAGGAAACTTGAAGATGGTGCAGGAGATGACAAAGGTGAGTTTTCCTGCCTAATAAAAAACAGCATCTTGATTTTGGCAAGTGACTAAAATAAATTTGAAACGCATTGGTACCAAAACACTTCCCTACATTATCCTGTAGCCCTGTTCACTTCTGGTATTAAGATGCGTTTTGTGAATCCGATCTCAAGTTGACAACACTAAATACAGGTGTAAACAGGGTTTAAAACATTTTGAGTTTGTCTACTCGACCACCTCCAGATGTAGTTAAAAACGCGTTAGGTTAAATGGTAATGTCTCGCCTTTCTGTTTGTAGTTTGTGGGACCAAGGTCTTTGTCATGCCTGGTGGAATGATGAAAAGCAATGGCAAGCTGGTGGAGCTGATTGAAAAAGTCAAGCCTGAAATCAGAACTCTCATAGAAAAATGCAACACGGTAAGGCCATGTAACCAAAATCTCAGACATGCTCTCACTCTTTAAAAGTGTTGTGGATAAATGTCATTTCCTTTGTTTTTTAGGTCAAGATGTGGGTTCAGTTGTTAATCCCAAGAATAGAAGATGGCAACAATTTTGGTGTCTCAATTCAGGTACGGTGTCACATTTTTCAGGTCTTCGTTTGCTACACTGAAAGCCTTGTAACAACATGAGCTGCATTTGCTGTAGGCAGATATAAAAGAACAAGCAGTGATTCCTCACAATTTGCTGTAATTGTTTTGTCATTTAAAAGAAATTATTCCTTATCTTTGGTCCTGTCGGGGAATGTCAAATGAAAAAGAAATTGTCAGCCATTTAGTTGGAGTTGTGATTCTGTTTATCTTCATAACAGGAGGAGACGGTGGCTGAACTCAGAACAGTGGAAGGGGAAGCGGCTTCTTTCTTGGATCAGATATCCAGGTACGACACATCAGTGTTAGTCAAATTAAGAATTAGGCACTTTAGTGTTCCTTCATTTTTTGTTTTACAGGTACTACATCACAAGGGCAAAGCTGGTATCCAAAATAGCAAAATACCCTCATGTTGTAAGTTGTATCTAAAGTACACGCATACCATTTAGATCAGGAATTCAGTAGTTATTTTATATATGTATAATATATATTTTGATTTATAGGAGGATTATCGTCGCACTGTTTCAGAGATTGATGAGAAAGAATACATCAGCCTCAAGATCATAGTGTCAGAACTGAGAAACCAATATGTAAGTATTGCTATAACTGTAATAATGCAAATGATTTTGAAGATTCTTTATTTTGATGTACAGAAAGAAGTCAGTATGTATTTGCTGTCTGGGAGTTGTTGTGATAATCAAATGCAATTGTCTTGCAGGTAACGTTACATGACATGATCCTGAAGAACATCGAGAAGATCAAGAGGCCGAGGAGCAGCAATTCGGATGCTCTGTACTAAGATCCCCCTTCCCTTTCATTCTTGGCCCGTTGTTCCACGATTTGGAGCTAGCTTTTGCCTTCAGGTGGTTTTAGAGCAGTCCTGTCACCCATTATACCCAGGCCAAGAGAAGGACCGCTCAATCCGGCCTGATAGAACATGCCATTTAGGATAGAATTGTAAAATATTGTCACTATTTTAAACCCTTTAAAATGAGCCCGTTTTGACTTTTCTTTTTGTTTCTTAGCGGACAGTATAAATGTATAAAGGCAGAGCCTGAACATGCGTCCCGAGGAAACTGTCTCAGATTTGTTTTTCTTTATTTAATTAAAGAAACGTTTCAACCGTGGATTTCATTTATTTTTGTGCAAAGCCAAATTCCATGTAGTTCTCCATTTCAAGTGTTTCTGAGCCTAGTTAAGGGATTACGGATCTACCCAGGATGGTCGGTTTCTCCGGTCGAGCAGCAGAGAAGCTCTTTTTGATGCTGTATTTCACTAAAGCCGGTTACGTTGTTCACCTGAAATGTACATGTAGGCTGAAGTGGAAGCGAGGCAGTTATTGTACGAGATTTTATTTGGAATGTGTGCTGACAGTTATTATGTGATGGAATATTATATTTTCATCAGAAATAACTGCTTCATCAAATTCTGGAAGCTTTTTATGGTTTCTTTTTGTCCAGTTTTGAGAGTGATAAATTTTGCTGAATAAACTATTGTTTTTACAATACATTTAAGGCACGTCATTAACTGCTGTTCTTGTTGTGCTTTTTTTCCTGAACATTTTTTACTCGTTATTATCCATATTATATAACTAATTTGATTTGCAGTCCCTGTATGAATACAAGTAGTTAAGTTTTACACAAAAAAAGTACACTTAAGTCCAAAGTGGTAAGGCTTTTTATTTTACTTAAACTGTGGTATGACAGGTTATTTCCATGGAGTAATATCCACTGAAATGGCTAGTAGAACACTGAACTAAACAATCTCAAATACAAATGCAGTTAAGAAGACCTTTCAACATACTAAATAATAACTTATAATAATGCTTGTAGTCACGGCCTAAATTGTACATTAAAAAAAAAACATTTTTTCAATAATTTATGCTGATGAAATACAACACAGACTTTATGTGATGATAAGTGATAAATTCCAACATACTAAATAATAACTTATAATACTGCTTGTAGTCACGGCCTAAATTGTACATTAAAAAAAAACATTTTTTCAATAATTTATGCTGATGAAATACAACACAGACTTTATGTGATGATAAGTGATAAATTCTTGCACTACCGACATTTTTCTCATGTATACCATTTGCAGAAATGTGGCTTATGTTTGAACAAATCAGAGAACCGTGACAGATTTAGACAAGCCTCTTAGTGTACACTAATCATGCAATATATAACAAGGCTTATATACAAAAAAAACTGATTTGGTCTCAAGGTTTAGGTTCTAGAAATGGACTAAAATGCAATTTTACTTGAATTTACATTCTAATCTAATCATTGCCAGTTTCCAAACCATGACAGGTGTTGAAGTGTTATAACACTGAACATTCTGTGATCTTCACAAAAAGCAAACCTAGAAGAGAAAACAAATAATTAACACCAGTTTGGAGAATCTACTCTAAATGTGAGAATCTAAAATAATGCTGCCATTTCTTTGCAGTTGCAATAATTTCCAGCAGGTGTCAGCATGGAGGAATTGGATTTAATGCTGAAGCAATTTCGAAAACTGTTGAAACTTTAAAACAGTGGTAAAGTTCATTGATAGATACAATATATGACAATTAGACAATTTCTCACTCTCAGTTTAAGTTGAGTTTCTTTGTGTTTGTTTATGTCATAAACTAAGTAATCGTGTAGAATGAGCCTATGAATGTAAGTACCTCATAGAATATAAGCAGGATGTAAAAACTCCTTGGGGACTATGCCAATAGCACCATCCAGCTCTCCGATCCACCATCCATGGATGTTATATTCCTAGTTTAAACAGAAATACAGAGATTTGTGTGAGGATTTTGTCGATGATCAGAAGACACCGGCGTACAATTATTTTTCAACTGATTTAGTTCAAAGGTAATACATTGGATGAATTTCATTGTATTAGATACCAAATAAAATAAACACATTATAATAGACTGACTCTTCTTAGCCATTTTTGCATATATATTGTGTCCAAATATGTTCACTCTATATTCATAATCAGTCTTCTGTCATAGGAACATTAAGCTTAGCCACTTAGGAACTGATGCACGTGTGATGAGGATTTTTATCTCTGGAATCACAGAAAATGAAATGCTGTGGCGAGAGAAGGTACTTATGCTGTTCTTACGGGTGTTTACTTAGTTGTATGGATCATCAGGGCTTTAAAACTGCACATAAAAACAAAGTATCAGGATGTTTACAATAGAACAAAATTTAATGCACCTGCATACACCCATTCGAATGCAAATATAAATGTTAATTCAAATCTTAAAACACAGATTTAACCATTTCTATGGTAATTAAAAAAGTGTGTGGTGAATCTGTTGATAGAAGTTAGAGACAATGATTGCCGCTAGAGATATTGACATAAGTTTGGGGACTAGTTTAACAGTGTTTGGATAACATTGGTTCTTGGAGGCCTTAAGCGAAGCAGAAGAAATCTCTATTCTTTTCTTGAAGCTCCATGTTTTTCCGCCGTAACATTCTCTTGATTCACTCCTCTCCAAATTCAAAAACCCTTAAGAGCTATTCCAGGCCAAAGCTCTTCAGAGTAAGAGTGGAGAGAGCCCCAGATCTGGCCTTTAATGAATAAAGACCGATTCAGGTGGACAGGGGTTTATAAATGAAGAGATTAAAGAACACGAGCTACACTGATAGTGAAAGACTGAAGTGTTTTAAGAGCTTTAGTATTCTAGCAGCACACACTGTACATTTAGACATGATGAGCATGTCATCCATCCGCTGCCTGCTGAGGAGAGTAGGAACTAATTACCTTCCTCTCTTTAAGCACACCCACAGTGCTGAGAGCCTAATGTAGTCCTCAGCCCATGCAGATGAGCCGCTTTAATGATGCTATACGGAATAAAATCCATCTGGACGGTGAGCTCAATGCCGTTGCGGCATCAACGCCTTGGTATAGCAGTACATCCAAGAACTTGAGCTCTTTGTTTGAGACGCATGCAGCTATGCAGATGGGGATTGTTGGAGGTGTAGATTGATGTTCTCATATGACAGTTCAGTAAACAAGAAGTTAATATTGAATAGCTTACATTTTAGACCCAATATTGCCAGAAGGGACCATTCACACAGGGCGTTTTGCATTTTAGTGCACAGCTTTTCCATTGTTTTTCTATGCAATAATGTACTAGACAGACATGCTTGACTGTTGCATTCACATCTTGCCTCTTTTCCAGCATCTTGTGCATGTCACGTTGTTTTAAAAATGTGGCACTCAAGTTGAATAAATCATTGTTTTGAACAAATCGGTTGTGTAAATTATTCAATGGTTTGCTCATGAAGATGGGCTGTGTTCGAAATCACCCTCTATACCCTTATGCAACGCACTAATTGAAGGAACAGCCTTTTTGTAGTGGTGTCCACAAATAAAATGGACATTATTACGTGCACTCATTTATTCCCATAATGCACCTTAGTAATGAGTGCACAACAAATGTATTCTGAACAGTGTATGTATTCATACAGAAATGTATTCTGAATATTTGTGGAGTAAAGTAAAGAATAGTTTATGAGGGTTTAAAGGGTGATTCACTTATTTTGTTCCTAAATGAATAAATGCTTTGAATGAATCAACTGAGGAAATTATTCACTGACTCAATCAAAAAGAAAGTCAGAATCAGTCAGTGGCTGCGTTCGAAATCGCATACTTTCATGAGTAGGTACTTATTTTGAATGAGTAATTCCTCCATGACTGCTAAAAAAGTATGCTTTGCTTTTGTGTGTAGTATGAATGTAATCCGGATGTACTACATTCGCCATGTTGTCATTATCACTAGACCTACCAGTGTCAGTTGCGTCACTTCACTGCTATTCACAACTCCTCTCCCATGGCCTCATGGGATAGTAAAGTGTCCATCGTATGCTTCTTTTGTCACCTACTATATAGTAAGGAAGTATGCCATTTTAGATGCAGCCCTCGTTTCAGAACAAACTGATTGAGTAAATGATTCAATGACATACAAATGTGTACCATTTATTGAATCGTGTCACTTGTTCGAGTGAGTCATTGAATCATTCAATAAACCAATTTGTTCAAAAACACTGATATATTCAGGAACAGACAGTTGTGTGTCGCCACCTACTGGTCTAACGAAGTAACCTGCAGAAAGAGTCACTAAAAAATCCCCACCACTAATGCACAGATCGACAGTATTTCTGGCAAACACAAGCAGAATGTTAAAACAGTGAAAATTACCAGTTTTGAATGAACTGACAAATCAGCAATCTCTAGAATGGTGAGGACTGGAACAAACTGCTGTATAATACTCCTCGTAATCACAGGTGCATCCATGGCTGATCAAACCATTTCGATCACGCCGCACCGCCTCCCTCACCCCCACCCTCCCCAACATGGTGTAACTGTGGGTTCAAACAGAGTACACACGCAGTACAAGAAAGAGAGTCAATACACTCCAGTGCAGTTCGTCCAATTTCGATGACTCGTGTCCTTTTCATTCCTGCCTCATTTTTCCTGCCTCCCAGTATTAGCAATCTGCTTTTCGGCAATGCATCTGTCAGCTAGAGGCATTTGGGAGACATCCAATCTGCGCCTGACCGTAGAAAGGCTTGTTATAGAGATTTACCCGAAAGAACTGCATGGGACAGGGATAATGGGTGGCTTTTCGGGAAGCTTCTCTGTAACAGGACAGGGTCAGGTGCGTTTCAGTTTGGTCTAGGTCTGGTGGGCAGCTGCTGTGAAAGTGACGTGCGGCGCTGCGATGGCACTGACCTCCGCACGACCTTCTCCCGAGGAAGGCGGAGTTGGCACAGGGAGCTATCGAGAGTGTGCGTTGCCATGACAACACCTGCAGTGTGCCACTGATATCATTTATTTCACACTCAGGGGGGGCGGGCTGGCAATGGTATTCAGATGGGCCCATTGCTCTCCAGCGACCAGGGGACAGACAGATTGACAGCTAATGATGCCTTAAAAGAGGAGTGACTTAAACACTATCATGACAGGCTCAGAAGTGACTCTTGTCTATAATAACGCCAGAATACCGATCACCCCTTTCTTCCTCTGTCCCCAATAAATTCCCACTAAGACACGCTTTGCATGCACGCCTCCTTTCTCGATCTCGTTTTAATCATTTTCCTTATTTGCAAACTCTCCCTCTGTGCCCGCGCGCATTCATTTTTTTCGGTTACGAGTAGAAACGCACACACACCGTGGAGGCAGTAGACATGGTAATAAGAATGAGACATGAGGCCTCTGCCCCTGGCCACCAGCTGACTGAGGTAGGCCTTGGGAGTGATGAAGCGCAGGAAGTCTCTCATTGCCCCACCGCTGAACCTGGCACTCGGGTGCTACAACCCCCTCCTCCGCTTTTCCTCTCCTGCTTCTCTTTCCTTAACTCGCATCGTAAAGCATCGGCTCCACACGCTCAGTGCTGCACAGGGACTCACTCATCCACCCATCTTTAAAGACAAACACCAATATGTCACGTTGTTTGCTAGTCCGAAGCAGCAGACGCGGCAGGTGGCGAACAGGTATTGATCTGCTGCTCGAGCAAAGGCAGCCGTCGTTCAATTTATCTTAATCAGTGCATTTAATTTGCATGTCATTTTCATCGTAGCTAGCCATTAAGAACTCGTAATATTAGCATTTGTTTGGCGTAGTAAAATAAACCGGAGCAAGATCACCGCAGGCCTTATTTAATCCCAAATTCGGGGCGTTCGAAGGTGCGACATGGAGTAAAAATGTGGTGCTGCACAGGGACTCACTCATCCAGCCATCTTTAAAGACAAACACCAATATGTCACGTTGTTTGCTAGTCCGAAGCAGCAGACGCGGCAGGTGGTGAACAGGTATTGATCTGCTGCTCGAGCAAAGGCAGCCGTCGTTCAATTTATCTCAATCAGTGCATTTAATTTGCATGTCATTTTCATCGTAGCTAGCCATTAAGAACTCGTAATATTAGCATTTGTTTGGCGTAGTAAAATAAACCGGAGCAAGATCACCGCAGGCCTTATTTAATCCCAAATTCGGGGCGTTCGAAGGTGCGACATGGAGTAAAAATGTGGATGACCAAATTATCTGCCATCGTAAAAGTACACTTGGGGATTACTGATGGCACTTAAACTTAATAGGCATTTAAAGTGGATTGTGTATGCTGCTGAGAGCCTGTAATGATGGCTGTTTATGTGGCCTCCCATTTATAATAATTATGCAGAGTGTGAGGGGGCGGCCGCCGTGCAGTTCTGGACTATTGGCTTAGGCTGAATAATGACCTACTGTAGTTGACCGCGAGATGACCGTTGCCTTCTGCATGACCCCAGAACCCCAGACTCACCCCCTGATGCCTCTGCTGGTAAATAGAAAGCTCAATATGTCTATACAGCGCCACAAAGAAGGCAGCTCCTTAGATGAGTGTGTGAGAATGATTTCAAAAAGGAGTGTCTATTTCCACTGGATTTTCCTTTTCTTTTATGGCACCTTTTCCTTTTCTTTAGGCATTTTGTAGGAGACTGACCCCCTGGGCGGGAGGCCAACTGGAGCAATCATCTGTCTGAAGTTTACGAGGATTTGTCCCACAAGGGAGGAGATAACAGTCACAATCACCCAGTTTTGTCTGTGAGAACTGCACATTCATATGCAAATTCACTTTATGTCTACCTGTAAAAACCTGCACAGTGGAGCATGAGAAAATTACACATAAACATACATGTTTATCAGATTAAATTGCAGCCTAAAAGCTGTTTGAACGGTTTAAACGCAGAAAATCTTAAAATGCAAATATAAACTGCTAAAAAAAAAAAAAGTTAATAAATATAAAATAATCAATAAATATAAAATAAAAACAATATATATAATGTGAAATGAGCCTGTTTTAAGCACAAACTATATATGAACTATACATAAATGTAAAAAATATATTAATAAATATAAATTTAATTTGATATATAAAATATAAATTTAACATAATGCAAAATTAGCCAGGTTTTCAAGTCAAACCATTAAGCATTTGTTTTAAAAACCACTAGATGTGCCACCCAGCTTAAAAAAACTTACAATCTTCAGCCAGAAGGTGGCAGTAGTGTCCACAGCCATACTGATGGAGCATCTGGATGTTAAAAGTAGATTGGACCTTGTCTAGACTGGCATCTAAGATTCCTGGTTTACAGCCCCTAATGGTGTGAGTGTAAAACACATGCTGTAGAAAGGCCAAGACGAAATGAAAGAAAGGGATATTGGTGGGCTTGCATGTTAAAAGGGTCCTGATGAAGTTTGCCTCCATCTTTAGTGCAATAAATCTCTTTGCTTCTCATTCCAGGATTTTAAGGGGATTCCCAGTGGGAATTCTGGCATGTGTTGGGTCTGACCTTTGGGAGTCATGTACTTTGAATCAAGGGGCATAAATTAAGAGTTTGGAATGCAAAAGGATGGCATGGTTGAAGAAGAAAAAAAATCTCCATGGGCCCCTTCAACTACACATGTAGTAAAAAACTGAACACAGCAAACAAACTATAATGCAAATAACAAGAGTTACAAAAATAAGACAGTACATTTGTTAGGTAGTGTACATGCAATGTGATTAGAGCAGGAAGAAAAACATCCCCAAATGTCCTGCTGCCGTGATTCTTCAGCCCTGAGGATTGAGTAGGCTGTACAGAGCTGGCAGATGGATGTTAGCCTTAGCCACTATTTCATGTTCAAGTGTTCTGAACTAAGGAGCCATGCGGCATGAGCAGGGAAACAATGGCGGCAAGGGAGGCTGATCTGAGGGAAACAGCAAGCCGTAGTGCAACTATTATGGTTGCACACAAAAACAAATTGAGACTGTACTGAAACTCAGTGTTGGGTTTTGATGAATAACAAGACAGTGCAGTCCAGAACATTTCATTGTATGGATAAAAAAAATATATAAAAAAAAAACATTTTAAAATAAATTGGTTTAAAATTAGGGGGAGAAAATCATGACAAATTTCTAATTTTGTGGTGAACTACCCCTTTAAATTTAATTTCCATGTTCCATCTGAGCATTACCAAAATACTTTAATAATAATCACTAATGAAGGAAATATTTTGTGCATGTGCTATCACACTCCCAAATGTTCCCACATATTATAGATACGTGTAGTGATTTGTGTAGATGAGCCGAATAACTGTTTATTCGCTGTAAGTGGTGGATCAATAAAGACTGATGAGAGAGCCTTTTTTAATCTGTACGCTCTGCTTACACCAGTGCTGTGACAGCGCTGTCGACCTCTTTGATTTGTGACTTCATAGCGGTTAATCATAGCGCTGCCTCAAAAACCTGTTGGTTAGCGGAATTGATTTAGCACTTTCCACGTCTTTATCACCTTGTAATTATGCTCGGTGTTGACACAAATATACTTGGCCTCCCCTCCACACCTCTGTGCAGCAGAATTTATGCACTCAGGTTTTATGACCACTGCTTTATGAGTGGGACCGCTAGAGTTGGGCTTGAGTTCTAGCCAACGGCCTATATTTCACTCAGTAAGGTCAACGTTCCAGGGAAGCACCCGTAAAACAAGAGCAGCAGTCCCATATTGTCTGAGAATGCATCTGAAGAGGTCTACTAGATTTGAGCGATACAAGTGCAGCCATTTCGAAAATACTGCCATCAATAAAAGCTATTTCAATTACATGTCAGTCACTGAGGGATTAAAAGTAAGAGCTGATAAATCTACTTTAGTCTGAATATAATAACAGCATGATGACAAAATCAGAGAGAGACTCTAGCTATCTGAGATGGTTAGACTCATTGTTTACACAAATTAGAAATACGGCATGAGATAAAAATAAATGACCCATGCACATCCTTACTGTGTTTTGATAACCAACCACAGCGGATGTAACATATACTCACTGTTTTTTGAATAACCGAATCAAACCTGTTTTAGTTCTCCTGTTATTTAATTCTGACTTTAGGGTTCATTAGTTGTCATATCTATACATTTCATTAGTGATTACTGAATATCAAGAGTGCCAAAAACGATAGTAGAATTCTTTCTTAAAGGGATAGTTCACCCCAAAATTTAAATTCTGTCATCATTTACTCACCTTCAAGTTCCAAACCTGTATAAGTTTATTTCTAGATAATTTCTTCTGTTGAATACAAAAGAAGATATTTAAAAGAAAATATTGGCAACCAACCAGCTGCTGGTAGCCATTGACCTATATAGTTTGGAAAAAATACTATGAAAGTCACTACCAACATTCTTCAAAATATTTTTGTGTTCAACTTTTGTGTTTCTTTTGTGTGTGTGTGTGTGTGTGTGTGTGTGTGTGTGTGTGTGTGTCTGT